TCATTTGGTCTAATGTGTCATTTAAGGCCTGTGTTTCCTTATTGATTTTCTGTCTGCATCTATCCATCGATGTAAGTGGGGTGTTAAAGTCCCCCACTATTGTGTTACTGTCGATTTCCCCTTTTATGACTGCTAGGAGTTCCCCAATGTATAAGATAAATGCTATACTGGGTGCATACTTACAATTGTTGTATCTGCTTGGATTAATCTTGATTATTTTGTACTGTCCTTTTTTGTCTCTTGTAACATTTTTCATTTTAAAGTCAATTTTGCCTGATATGAGTATTGCTATTCCAGCTTTCTTTGATTTTCATTTGTATGGAATACCTTTCTCCATCCCCTTTCAGTTTGTATGTGTCCTTAGATCTGAAGTGGGTCTCTTGAGGACAGCATATATGTGTGTGTGTCTTGCTTCTATATCCATTCAACCAATCTGTGTCTTCTGAATGAAGCATTTAATCTGCTTACATTTAAGGTAATTATCAATATATATGTTCTTAAGGCCATTTTGTCAGTTGTTTTGGATTTGTTTTTATAGGTCTTTTTTCTTCCCTTCCCTTGTGATCTGATGAATATCTTTAGTGTTGGGTTTGGATTACTTTTTGTGAGTGTGTATCTCTCATAGGTTTTTGGCTTGCAATTACCATGAGGTTTTGATATAGCAGTCTATACACACACACACACACACACACAAAGATTAAGTTGCTGGTCTCTTAATTTCAAATGTATTTGTACTCTCCTCACCATTGCTGGTCTTGATATTGTATTTGTGTGTGACTGATTTCCTACTTTTACTGTTTGGTTGCCTTTACCAGTGAACTTTCCCATTAGTAATTTTCTCATTTTTAGTTGTGGCCTTACTTTTCTGTCTAGAAAAGTTCCTTTCTTGTTGTAAAGATGATTTGGGTGTACTGAGTTCTTTTAGCTTTTGCTTGTCTATAAAGCTTTTGATTTCTCTGTCAAAGCTAAGCAAGAGCCTTGCTGGATATTCTTGTTTGTATGTTTTTCCCTTTCATCACATTAAATATATCATGCCACTCCCTTCTGGCCTGCAGAGTTTCTGCTTAAAAAACATCAGCTGATAACCAGACAGGAATTCCCTAGTTGCTTTTAATATTTTCTCTTTTTGTCAATTTGATTAATGTGTGTCTTAATGTGTTCCTCATTGGGTTTATCCTGTATGGAATTCTCTGCACGTCTTGAACTTGAGTGTGTGTTTCCTTTCCTTAGGGAATTTTTTGGCTATTATCTCTTCAAATATTTCTCAGGCCCTTTCTTCTCCTTCTGGGACCCCTTTAATGCAAACATTGGTACATTTAATGTTGATTCAGAAGCCTCTTGGACTGTCAACATTTCTTCTCATTCTTTTTTCTTAATTCTGTTCCAAACAGTGATTTCCAGCAATCTGGTGTCCAGCTCACTTTTTCATCTGCCTCATTTATTCTACTATTGATTCCATCTACCGTATTTTTCAATTCAGTTATTGTTCATCTCTGTTCTTTAAAGCATCTAGCTCTTTATTGTATCCCCTCCTCAGTCTATGCCTCCATTCTTTTCCTGAGATCTTGGATCTTCTTTACTATTACGCCTATCTTCATTTCGCTTAGTTGTTCTTCTTGGGTTTATCTTAATCCTTCATCTAGAACATATTTTTCTGCCATCTCATTGTATCTAATTTTGTGCATCTGTGGTCCCTATTTCCAAGCTGCAGGACTACAATTTTCCTTGGTTCTGGTGCCTTCCCCCCTGGCAGGTGAGTTTCGTCTAGGGACTGGTACTTATCCACTGGTGGGTAGTGCTGGGTTTTGTCCCTCTGATAGGCAGGACTGTCTCAAGTGATGTGTTTATGGGTGGCTGTTGGGTGAAGCCAGGTTCCAAAATGGCCATCTCTGTGAGAGCTCACAATGATGAGCCTTCCCTGGGGTGTTCACTACTGTGAGCCACAGCTGACCCCGCCTCCCCAGGACCCCCACTTAAGAACCAAAGGTAGGTCTAGCCCATGTGCCTACAGAGTCACTGCTTTGCCCTGGGTCCCAGTGCATGTGAAACCTCGTGTGCACCCTCCAAGAGTGGAGTCTCTTCTTGTTCCCCCCAGTCCTGTGGAGCACCTGCAGTCAAGCCCGACTGGTTTTCAAAGCCAAAATGCTCTGGAGGCTCTTTCTTCTTATTCCAGACCCTCAGGCTGGGGAGCCTGATGTGGGGCTCAGAACTCTCACTTCTATGGGACAGTCTCTGTGATATGATTATTTTCCAGTTTGCAGGTCACCCTCCCACTAGATTTGGGAGTTGATTATAAAACAGAAGCATTCCTACAATCTCACTGTGACTTCTTTGTCTTTGGGTGTAGAATACCTTTTTTGGTGGGTTTAAGTCTTTTTTTGGTCAATGGCTATTCAGCAATTAGTTGTGATTTTGGTGTTTTTGTGAGAGGAGGTGAATTCACGTCCTACTCCACCATCTCATCTCCTGCCTCTCTCATTCTTAAGCAGTAGTTGAGCCCTGACTCACAAGCAGATATCTCTGATGGTTCATCATGAAAGATAATGCCACTGTCTGCTGCTGTGTCTCTACTGTGCAATTCCGTTACCTTAGGAAAGTTTCTAAAATAAGGTGCTTTTTCATCTTGAAATTTTTCTAGCATTCTGGATCCTTTACACCTTCTTGAAAATTACCAGCATCATCTGAAAATCTTGTTTTGTTGTGTTTCAAAGATACTGCATGGTTTAGAAATTCTGAAGCTGACAGTAAGCTCTTTTAATAAAATAAAAATCAAAAGTCTAAGGATTCAAAGGGAAGTCAGTTGAGAATACAGGAAACATGTTTCTGGGCCCCCTGATGCTAATACCAACCTGCATCAGATTTCAGTGAGTCTATGCCAAGAAAAATACCATTTGGGATGTGAGGCAAATGCAGCTTGTCACTTTTCTTGTTTGTAGTTAAGTACAGCTTATAAACCACCTGTGTAAGGTGTGTCATACACTCTCCTGGATGGTCTCCAGAAAAAAAAAATCTCTCAGTATTAGAGCATTCTGGGATAAGTTTAAGTGAAATGTTATAGAAAGCAATAAGAACCAGGTATGTGACCAGTTCAGGAGGGGTGGGAGGAATCAGCACTGAGGAAGAGAAGGAAAGAAACATGAACAAATGAGTGTCTGTGTCTTGCAATCAAAAATCATCTGGACTAAATCAGTGCTGTTAAACATGAGGAAATATTATTTAGATATATACCCATATATATGTATATACTGAAGAATAACATTAATATTAGTGTTCTTATTGAAATTTTAAGATGAATTCAGTCTAATTTAGATGATATAGTTTAAGGCTAATTCTTTTAAAATTTTCATTGATTTCCTCTCTAAATGATCAAATAATGTTTGTTTTATGCTTAAATTAGCCTGAATTCACATGCTGTATAAATACAGGGAAGATGATCTGACATTTGCTATTAAGTAAACTGTGATATTTTCTTAATCTCAAACAGGCCAGAAACAGTTTTAGAGAAACATACTGTAGCCACATATTTTAGGGGGAAGTAGCATGAATGGGGAGAAGGCAATGGCACCCCACTCCAGTACTCTTGCCTGGGAAATCCCATGGATGGAGGAGCCTGGTAAGCTACAGTCCATGGGGTCGCTAAGAGTCGGACACAACTGAGCGGCTTCACTTTCACTCTTCACTTTCATGCACTACAGAAGGCAATGTTAACCCACTCCAGTGTTCTTGCCTAGAGAATTCCAGGGATGGGGGAGCCTGGTAGGCTGCAGTCCATGGGGTCGCACAGAGTCGGACACGACTGACATGACTTAGCAGCAGCAGCAGCATGAATGGGGCTTCCTTAAATTTATTCCATACTCTTGTTCAGAAAAGACAGACAACACTGTCAGACAGATGGAGAACAAACTAAAAGCATCTACGAAGTGTTTTCATATACATTTTGCTGAATAATTTGATTCTAGAGCAGCACTGTCCATGATGGCACTTTATGCAATAGTGGAAATATTCTGCATCTGTGCTGACCACTGGCTCTATATGGCTACTGAGCACCTGAGTTTTAAATTTCGATTAAATTTTAATAGGCACATGTGACTTTGTGGTTGCATGTTTAGACCAACAGAACCTTCTGTTCTGTAAGAAAAGATTACATAATATGTGTATAAATCATTATGACAACATTATCTAAAATTGTTTTTTGTGAACATGCCCTTCAGGGTAGAATTTTGTTATCTGCCTTCACTGTAGTGGTCCTTAATGACAGGACACATACTAGATCCTCTTTTTTTCTTTTCCCCCTATCCTAGGTTCTTTCTCTGACTGAAAAGAATAGTCATTTTAGTGGTTGATCAAGGACAGGTCTTTTGCCTTGACTAAATCACGAAGGAAAAAATTTGTTCAAAAATCTCTCAAAAGTGAATTTTAATCTTCCAATTAAAAGCAAGGCCTCAGGCTTAACCAACAGTTGTTATCATCAAGAGCTCTCAAATTATCATACAAAAGAGTAAATGACACCACAATTCATAAAGCTTTTCTGAGGTTCTTTCTCCCTCTGGTACTAGGGGAATAGCCATAGAATAAATTCTATTTCATTAGATCAGAAGAAAGTTCTGTGATAGAGTTACAATTATTAAAAAAAAGACAGAAGCGTCTGGGGCAGAACGGATACATATGCATATAGATATGGCTGAGTCCCTTTGCTGTCCACCTGAAACTATCACAACATTATTAGTCGACCTCACACCAATACAAAATAAAAAGTTCAAAAATAAATAAAAAGAGAAAGGTAAGAAATATTTTACACTTGATAGCAGGTCAATACCTCTGGCAGGTATTCTTGCTAAACAATTTTTTTGGACAGGAAGAGACATTCAGGTTTGACTTAAGTTATAGCACAAATTCATTAAAACAATCAACAACACAGCACTTACAGATGAAGCTTATAAATGTATTATTCAGCTATTTCAGGGTGGGGGAAAAACTCCAGAATATTAAAGTATCTTTACCTCGTAATGAACAAGTTGGTCCATTTTCTTGATTCTTAGAGCGCTTATTTCTGAACTGACTTGGAATATCTAATGAAAGGTCTTAAAAGGAAATAGGAAAACAGAACTGTTAAAGGAATATATAACCAAGCAAAAAATAATTTCCAAAAATGATGTATTTTTACAGATTTATCTCTTTACTGTCTTAGCTTTCAAAGGAAACATTGCAGTTATTATTTTAATACAGTATCATATCATCACATGCCAAATATGTCTTACCTAGGAATGGATCAAACTTTCTAGATTCTGTCCCACATATGAGACAGTTAACCTCATTTTGGAGAATGCCTCCGAATATAGCCGTGACAACTGTAGATGCTCCATTTCTAAAGAAAATCACACAGGAAAATATCTCAGTAAAAAACTAAAATATATGTAAAAGCTCCTCTAGGTCACTCCCCACTCCCTTTGGGGGATATATATATATATGTTAATTTAAATTATAGAATAACACAAAAGCTTAAAAGCTACATAGATGTATACCAAATACAAGGTTTAAGCCACTGGCCTTCTCTGACCCCTCTCCCAATCCCACTACCTTCTATAATACAAAAGTTACTAACACTGAACATTTGCCATTACTAATAGATCACATACATACCTGCACTCGGAGGAAGAGGACCCCTTTTCCCTCAAATATACCCCTCAGGAAATAGGAAACCCTTTTATATTAGATCCTTTGCAAGATTTCTCATCATATGGGGATCTCTCTAAATTACATTACTTTGAACAACAACCTTCATCAAAGATAGTTTAAGATTTTTTTTTAGATGGTCACATTTGGGGAAAATGAGGTAAACAAATTTAACATATACTTAGTCATCACTGGTAGAGAGATGATTTCACAATTAAACACTTAAACAATATTTCCCTTGTAGAGATCAAAAATATGTACAGCACTGTAAGAACAATAAGACACTAATTGTCCTAATGTTACTTAACCTATGTGTGCCTCAGCTTCATCAAATGTAAAATAGGAATAACATCTACCTACCTTAGAAGCCTGGTGATGATGATATGAGAATATACGTACAATGCTTTTTAGACAAGTGCTTACCGAAAAGAAAGCCTGTTGAGTACTGTAAGCATCTTTGATCTGAATAATCAGGGTCATACCTGCCTTCTGCTTGTCTTCTCTTCCCTAAGTATGTATCCTGGATGTGTACCTCACTCTGACAGGTGCACAGCGTGCCACGGTTTGGACAATAACAGCTGACAAGCACTTATGTACTTACGGGCCAGGCTCCATTCTAAGTACTTTCCGTGTGCTAAACTAATGCTCACAACAACTCTGAGGTAGAGAAGATTATCCCCATCTTACAGACAAGGAAGCTGAGGTTCAAAGGTTAAATAACTTGGCCCAAGTTCACACAGCTGGCCTGACCTAAGCACCTTCTGTGAACACTATGCTCCTTCTCTTAACAATATAGTATTGATGGGTATATACTTTGGTAAAAAATATTTAAAATCCCAAATGCCTCCAGGTTTCACTGCAACCACAGGAACCCACATAAAACTGTCAACAGAACAAATAAAGATAAATCAGAATATAAATAAATTATTAATGGTACTGAGGTTATTTTATTGTGTGCTTTCATTAATAGCACTATAGTGAACACAAATGTGAACTTTTGTAAACTTATGCAGTTATCTGAGCCAGGATATTGCTCTTTTTTACTAACAGTAATTTGAGGTGGTTTCTGTCACTTGCAGTCAATAGTATTCCTAACACACTGAACCACACTTTGAGTGCTCCAAATGAAACCTACTGCAATGATGAGACAGAAAAAACCTACCCAAGCAAACCTATTATTTTAAAAGTTCTGCTTCCTTTTCTTTGAAAGGGCTTCCTTCTATACTGGTAAAAGAAATACACTGTAGCTTTTTAAGTTGTTCATAAGATACATGATTTTAGTACTACAAAGGATATACCCCCAAAAAATCTACTGAAAATAAAGGGTTTATGACTGATCCTTTCATACTGATATTCACATACTCTGCTGCCTTTAATTAAAGTGGAAACTGCTTTATTAAAAAGCAGTACATTGGAAGCAACCCAGACGCCCATCAGCAGACGAATGGATGAGGAAGCTGTGGTACATATACACCATGGAATATTACTCAGCCATTAAAAAGAATTCATTTGAATCAGTTCTAATGAGATGGATGAAACTGGAGCCCATTATACAGAGCGAAGTAAGCCAGAAAGATAAAGACCATTACAGTATACTAACACATATATATGGACTTTAGAAAGATGGTAATGATAACCCTATATGCAAAACAGAAAAAGAGACTCAGATGTATAGAACAGACTTGTGGACTCTGGGAGAAGGCGAGGGTGGGATGTTTCAAGAGAACAGCATTGAAACATGTATATTATCTAGGGTGAAACAGATCACCAGCCCAGGTTGGGTGCATGAGACAAGTGCTCGGGCCTGGTGCACTGGGAAGATCCAGAGGGATCGGGTGGAAAGGGAGGTGGGAGGGGGGACTGGGATGGGGAATACATGTAAATCCATGGCTAATTCATTTCAATGTATGACAAAAACTACTGTAATGATGTAAAGTAATTAGCCTCCAACTAATAAAAATAAATGGAAAAAAAAATAAAAAAAATAAAAAGCAGTACATTTAAACTCAATGTACTTCTTCCATTACAATTTCTTCCTCTGAACAAAAGATACTAATCAAGTCTTGGCTATTTTAAAATTATTTCAAAATCACTATTCTACATTATAACTGCACACCAAGAAAGTGTAAATATTAGCTACTTGGACAGGCTGTTATGCTGAGGAGGTCCTTTATACTTGCACTAACAATTTTCTATATATTAAAAAGAACCCACCTGCTATTTATTTCTGCCATCCTCACCCCCACCTTCAGTAGGGTTTGATGTGTTTATATGAATAAATACAAACACAGGAGACCTTTTTTGTTGATTTTTTTTTTTTTCTTGCAGTCTTAGCAAGTCTCATCCTTAGATCCTGAAATGCATCCGCCAGTGAATTTAAGGAAATATAAAGAAACCTGAATTTTTAATATCTGAGAAGGGAATAGCTACCCACTCCAGTATTCTAGCCTGGAGAATTCCATAGACTGTATAGTCTATGGGGTTATAAAGAGTCGGACAAGACTGAGCGACTTTCACTTTTATGTTCCTAACTCACTAATGAAACTTAAAATTTACTATTATTTAAAATACCATTAAAAGATATGGATTAATACTGAAAACTCAGGAGTTACTAAAAGAACCACCTGTGACTATCACAAAATGTGATGCCCCCTCACTTCCCAAGGACTCGCCTCCTTAGAGCCCAGCTCAGCATCCTACTTGTATGACTATACCACCACATAAAATACAAAGCAGAATTTGTTATCTAATCCTATGTTTGAACTGATGCTAGCAGCAGGGACATTTCTACCAGATCACAGTTCCTTCCCCCTCCATCCTTGTTTCTAACTTGAACACAGCTCCTAGAACCTTGAGGATCAAACATTTTAAGAAGTATGGCCATTCATATTAATTGCCCTTCTCTGATACAATCAGATTAACTATGAGACTACAGATTTATGGACTGCCAGGCAATAATATGACAGCAACCCTATATATTATTTTCTTTCATTCTTTGGGGAATTCATCTTATAAAGTCCCTTTCTTGCATAGATAAGTATAAAGTTTTTCCCAAAATTTGAACACAAGGAGACAAATAAGCAAAATCCAAGCTGAAATAAAAGTCGATTATGTCTTTCTTAGCAAAATAAACATTCTGATCCCAAGTATTAGTACTTGGGAAAGCAACCAAACGGTTGTTTTGTTCATACTGATAGGCAAAAAAACCCCAAAATTCAGAAAAGTTATCAGTGCCTGGGTATGATTAAAGAACAGGTTAAAAAAATAAAATTATTTTTGGAAAAGTTAAGTCCAAAATGAAGCTGTAGGAAAATACACATTCAAAATATTTTAAGCCCTTGTGATTAGTGAACAAATGGAAATGAAATCTTACATGCAACATTTGTTACTTGCAGACAGAGTAGAATTCTCTTGCAGAATTGATGAGCGGGAAATACCGTTGAAACCACCCTGGAGTTCCAAGTGCAGGTGGTCTAACAGGTAGCGCATGAACTCATGGGCATCCTGCTGCTGGTAGCCCCTAGAAGCAAACGCAGTCAGTCACCGAGGGGCTCTGCCTACCCAGCCCAGCACGCTGGAGGGTGGTGCTGGGAGGGCCGCGACGCTGCGCTCAGAACACAGGGGGGCTCCCTTGTCCTTCACCCTCACTTCCTTCTTATCTTACACATAAAATTCCCTTCAAGACAAGAATTCCACTTCTTAAAAATCAGTTTGGAAATACGGACTAGTAGAGCTAATTGGACTTACACTAACCTCAACTGACTTCACCCAAGAGGAACACTGAGAGGCAAAAAGGGGGTTGTGTGACCTGCCTGAAGTCCTACAACAGGAGAGTAACAGAGATGGGACCACAACTCTGTCTCCTGGTGGACTGTGAATTTCCTCATTTCCCACGTAGCCTCTCTAGGAGACGTTCACACGTTAAAACTTCACATCATACCTGCACCAGAAAACCAGGTCTAAAGTTTTATTAAAGTTTGTTTTAAGAAATAAAACCTTTAGATTAAAAGATAATTTTCAAACACTGGCTGAAAGGAAGAAAAATTTTATCTAAAGAGCTGAAGATGTGTAACATTCTATCATCCTAATCTCTGATTCAAAGGACATTTTTTTAAACAAAATTTTCAAAATGCATTGACTCATATACAGTTATGCTGTAGCCTAAAACTTGAATATATATAGCCACATATTCTGAGGTTATTTCTTAAACTGTATTCAGTCAGGAAATTCTATGGAATTCTTGTACTAATACAGATCAATGACAAGTGCAGAATAATGAAATCTGACAAAATTAAGCTGGTACAGCTAGAAGGGTTAGAGGTTTATGTTGATAAATCAGCAGTGATGTCTAAAGCATATTTATAAAATTATGGATAAGAAAGACTACAATTTTTACCAGCATGGAAGGTTCTCTTTAATCTCTGCCCTAAGTGGCAACTTTTCTGACCTGATCTGGAGTCAAAACTTTCATTGCCCTTCTAGGCAGTGGTTCCACAAACAAAATTTCTTTTAGCCAGATTTCTCCCCTTTTCCTAAAATTTTTCCTGGAAATAAATTATGGAAATGATCTGCCTAATCAATGGAATTTACATCAAAAGTATTTCACTGTAACTTTTTCTAAACTATTTAGCAACTAAATAGTAATACATATGTTGTTTAAGTATTTAAGACTCTTATGAATAAAATGTCAAACTTAAGTAAAACTATTCAAACTTCGTAGTTCCTTTATATATACCTAAGGAGATGCTTTAAACCTTTTCAATATACATCTTTTTCATGACTGAAAGATAATATCAGTATCTCAGGTCATATCTGAAATTCTATCTTATATAAAAAAGTTTTATTGTCTGACCAAAATAACCTAATATCTAATCATCATTTTCTAAAATGGATCATTAAAACCTGTATCTTGTAGTTATGTCAATTTGCATTTTCATCAAACACATATCCATCCCTTAAAATAATCTAATGTACATTAATGAACATTTCCAACCACACCATGATTCACTTTCCTTATATCAAAATACATTATTTTCTACTGTTTCCTTTACCATTAGAAATACATTTGATGACCTATATGAGATCATGGAACACTCATTATTTCATAAAGGTAAGTTATAGGCATCTGTTACAATTTGTGATCTTTACCCAGAGAAGGAAGAGTATTTCTTCTAGGACTAGGACTTTTTTTTTTTAATTCTGACTAAAGAAACATTTACAATTCCATTTCTAAACATTTAAATAAAGTCTTTCATTGACTTATCTGTAGAATAGCAGCTCCAGTTTTACCACTGTTCCTTATCCTCACTTGTTTGTGACCTTACATAAAGATTACCTCTTTCTCTTTATGTCTATAGAAAATCTGTATCATAAAGATAAATCATCTTAGAGAGCACACTGCAAACATAAAAAGCCTAGACGATCATAAGGCCTCCATTCTGAATGAGGGACACTGCTGAGGTAAAACACACAGGAACGTAGGGCAACTGTCTCTTCATCTTAAGAACAAAGAAAGGTTCCAATGAAGAAAATGTTACTTTGAGCCTGTTTAAGTGGAAAGCAGATATTCCAAATGAAACAGACACCACATAATACAGGCACACACAAGCACCTGTGCGAGGCTCCAACATGCACAACTGACACATGCCTATGCATCACTGGCCATCTGCTGTTTAGTGAGGACCACTGCATTACGTGGAAAATGGCACAAGCTGCTTCTGAAATATCTAGGACACATAAGAGTTTTAGGTTCTGTTCATATTTAAAATAAGTTACAATTTTGCCCAAATTATCTGTAAAACCAAAAGCAGTTACATTTAGCTATTCCTACCCAGTGTAAGACATTAATCAAGGCTGAGTTTCTTTGAGACAAAAATACTAGAAAATGAAAATTAAAAATTAAAAAAAAAAAGAAAATGAAAATAATTTTTTGTTTACAAACACACAAAAAAACCATACAATAGATAAATTCCTAATTAGAATACAGGTGTATCTCGTTTTACTGCACTTTGCTTTAGTGTGCTTTGCAGGTGCTGCGGTTTTTACAAGTCGAAGGTCTGTGGCAACCCTGCTTTAGGCAAGTCTGTTGGGGCCATTTTCCAACATTTGTTCACTCTGTGTCTCTTATCACATTTTGGTAATTCCTGTAAAACTTAAAATTTGTCCATTATTACTATTATGTTTGTTACCGTGATCAATGGTCAGTGATCTTTGATGTTACTCTGGTAACTGTTTTAGGGTGCCACAACCATGTAAAGCAGCAAGCTTAGTAAATGTTGTGTGTGTTCTGACTGTTCCAGGGACAGGCTGTTCCTGCCTTTCTCCCTCCCTTTGGGCCTCTGTATTCCTTGAGACACAATGATATTCAAACTAGGCCAAATAACAACCCTTAATGGCCTCTAAGTGTTTAACTGATAGGAAGAGTCGCAAGTCTCTCATTTTAAACCAAAAGCTAAAAGGATTAAGCTTAGTGAGGAAGATATGTCAAAAGCCGACAGAGGCCAAAAGCTAGGCCTCTTGCACCAAACAGACAGGTTGTGAAAGCAAAGGAAAAGTTCTTGAAGGAACTTAAAAGTGCTACCCCAGGGAAGACACCATTGATTTAAAAAGTGAGACCCTATTGCTGATAGGGAGAAAGATTTATCAGTCTGGACAGAAGATCAAACCAGCCACAACATTTCCTTCAGCCAAAGCCTAATTTAGAGCAAGGCCTTAATAACTCTCCTCCATTCCAGGAAGGCTGAGAGAGGTGAGGAAGCTGCAGGAGAAAAGCTTGAAGCTGGCAGAGGTTGGTAAGTGAGGTTTAAAGAAAGAATCGGTCTCCCTAACATACATGTGCAAGGTGAAGCGGCAAGTGCTGATGTAGAACCTGCAGCAAGATATCCAGATCTTGCTAAGATCAACAATGAAGGTGGCTACACTAACCAACAGATTTTCAATGTTGACAAAACAGCTTTATACTGGAAGATGATGTCATCTAGGACTTTCACGGCTAGAGAGGAGAAGTCAACGTCTGGCTTCAAAGGACAGAGTGACTCTCCTGTTAGGGGCTAATGCAGCTGGAGACTTGAAGCTGAAGCCAGTGCTCATTTACCAGTCTGAAAATCCTAAGGCCATAAGAATAATGCTCAATCCACTCTGCCTGTGCTCTATAAATGGAGCCACAAGGCCTGGATGTAGTACATCTGTTTACAACACAATTTACTGAATATTTTAAGCACACTGTTGACACTCTCAGACAAGATTTCTTTCAAAATATTACTGCTCAAGAACAACACACCTGTGACGTGTTGTCCATGAGCTCTGATGGAGACATACAATGAGATGAAAGTTGTTTTCAGAGATCAAACTCCCTGGATACTGACATCTGTTAACCAAGGAAAACGGGTTTTCTAAACTGTAAAAAATTTTACTTTGGGATTATAACTACAATAAAAACATAATTCAAGACTCACTTCATTTCCACTTTGGCATGTTATAAGAACTTTACCCTGTATACATAAGAAGTAGTGGTGGTTTAGCCACTAAGTCATGTTCAACTCTTTTGTGACGCCATAGGTTGCAGCCCGCCAAGCTTCTCTGTCCATGGGACTTTCCAGGCAAACATCCTGGAGAGGGTTGCCATTTCCTCCTCCAGGGGATCTTCCCGACCCAGGGATCAAACCCAGGTCTCCTACAATGCAGGAGGTTTCTTTACCAACTGAGCCACCAGGGAAGCCCAATATATATAATAGGAGTAACAATTATAAGAAGAAAACCCTACCTCACAGCCTTACACCTGGGCATTGGGCAGTGACCCTGCACTAAAACTTTATCCATGATACAATCTCAAGATCTAGGTCTAACCAAGAGAAAATTATTCTTTGAGAAACCCACTCCAGTATTCTTGCCTGTAAAATCCCATGGACAGAGGAGCCTGGTGGGCTACAATCCTTGAGGTCACAGAGAGTAGGACACGACTTGGTGACTGAACAACAACATGGAAGTGGGGAACAATATGAATTATTACAGAACAAAGAGAAAGCCCTGCTGAGAACACAGAGACATGTTATTCTGCTTAGTCTCTCAGTCATTAGCGAGATCTAAGAGGCCATGTTTTACAGGAATCACTCCAGCAACGCCATCCAAATTTCTCAACCTGGTCAGCTTTTCCAGTTCTTTTCTTTCATTGGTAGGAATAATAGAATGTATAAAATTAGGTAGCTAAAAACTAACTCACGCTCACGGCTAGAATAAATAAACTGGTAGAGGTAATGGGAAGATTTAGATGAAAAGCAGAATTCTATTAAATGAAGAGGGAACTGAGTCACCATGCAATCCAAGTAGAAGAGTACAGAAACAGCTGATAGGCCTCACTTGGGCATGGGAACAAGTTCCTACAAGTTTACTGTGAACACATCTATCAGTGACCAGTGCCATAAAGACCTGGGTTCTCATTCTGGTCCTAACACCTACTAGATGCATAACACTGAACTGCTCTCCTTTGTCAAAGTTTCATCTTTAAAATGAGGCTAACACTTCCTGTGGATAATAATTGCAGCCATGAAATTAGAAGATGCTTACTCCTTGAAAAGAAAGCTATGACAAACCTAGACAGAGTATTAAAGAGCAAAGATATCACTTTGGTGACAAAGGTCCAAATAGTCAAAGCTATGATTTTTCCAGTAGTCATGGATGGATGTGAGTTGGCCCATAAAGAAGGCTGAGTGCCAAAGAATTGATGCTTTTGAACTGTGGTGTTGGAGAAGACTCTTGAGAATCCCTTGGACAGCAAGAAGATCAAACCAGTAAATCTTAAAGGAAATCAACCCTGAATACTCACTGGAAGGGCTGATGCTGAAGCTTCAATACTTTGGCCATCTGATGTGAACAGCCAACTCACTGGAAAAATACTCAGATGCTGGGAAAGATTGAAGGCAAAAAGGAGAAGAGAGTGGCAGAGGATGAGATGGTTGGACAGCTGATTGAATCATGGATAGCCCATTGAATCATGGATAGTCCACTGAATCAAGTCCATTACCGATTCAATGAACATGAACTTGGGCAAAGTTCATGGGAGCTAGTGAAGGGCAGGGAGGCCTGGCATGTTGCAGTCTATGGGGTTGCAGAGAGTTAGACATGACTTAGCAACTGAACAACAGCAATGCTTCCTACCTTGATGGGAATTCTGTTGTGTTTCTTAACGAAGATCAAATATAAAATACCCAAAGTGCTTGGCACATAATAGATACTCAACAAATGGAAGCACTTTTTATCTGGTAACAAAACACAAGGATTAAATCCCTATCAAGAGTCTAACTAGGTCAGTTCAGTCGCTCAGTCATGTCTCACTCTTTGCAAACCCATGGACTGCAGCATGCCAGGTTTCCCTGTCCATCACCAGTTCCTGGAGCTTACTCAAACTCATGTCCATTGAGTCGGTGATGGCATCCAACCATCTCATCCTCTGTTGTCCCCTTCTCCTCCTGCCTTTAATCTTTCCCAGCATCAGGGTTTTTTTCCAGTGATTCAGTTCTTCACATCACGTGGCCAAAGGAGTGGAGCTTCAGCTTCAGCATCAGTCCTTCCAATGAATTTGGGATTTATTTCCTTTAGGATTGACTGGTTGGATCTCCTTGCAGTCCAAGGGACTCTTGAGTCTTCTCTGACACCAAAGTTCAAAAGCAGCAATTCTTCACCACTCAGCTTTCTTTATGGTCCAACTCTCACATCCATACATGACTACTGGAAAAACCATAGCTTTGACTAGACAGAACTTTGTCAGCAAAGTAACGTCTCTGCTTTTTAAAATGCTATCTAGGTTAATCATTGCTTTTCTTCCAACAAGCTTCTTTTAATTTCATGGCTGCAGTCACCACCTGCAGTGATTTTGGAGCCCAAGAAAATAAAGTTGTCTAACTAGGTGATTGATAGAAATTTCTACCAGTGATTAACGATAACTTAACAATCATTTCTACCTTTCCTATTTAGAGTCAGATAATGCTAAAATTCTTACAAGATATTCTTTCCTGAGAAGAGATTTCAACAACATGATATAGAAAAGAAATATCCTTCAAAACAAAGACTAGGGTTAACAATAGTCAATTACATCCGACCCTCAAGGCCACACTCTTCAGGAAGGCAACAAATTACAGTCCTGTTACCCTTCAGACATTTCTCCACACTACCCATAGATCTGAACCACTCTGAGACAATCAAGCAAGATACACTGCTAGGGTTTACTACACCGTGCTGGCTTTAAAAAAGGAGAGGAGCATATATTAGATGCCAGAATCATGACTAGTAAGAACCATGATGTGCTTCAGAAAGATGAAATCAGCAGAAGGTGGCAAAGGCTGTTGTCAAACACCCGCAGTGCTTCAAATCTGCTGCTCACTACAGGGCTGATGAGCCTAGGAGAAGAGGGGCTTTTCTGACAGCAGGGCGTTTCCCTCTCAAGTGAGACTAGATAAACAACATGGAAAACTCAGCGACTGCAGCCATGTAAGGAGATGATCTGTTCATTTTGTTACTGTCTGAGAAATGAATCTTATGGACTTAACTACAGTCTGGAATACAGTGCCATGGTTTTCTACTGATTACATTTGGATTTTTTTCTTTTAGCTGAAATAAGACAGTGTATGATGATAATTACCGTTTATAAGATTTTAAAAGAATCAAGGAAATTTTGCCCAGTATGTTTTCCTAGAGCACATAAGTTATTTATAAGGTCTTTGCTTTTATAACAACAAAATGCCCTGCTTTTTGTTAAAGACATTTCTGAGGTCTATTATTTAAACACATTGTCTAGTAGGATATATCCAACTTACCTTCTCCTTAAAAAACAAAACAGTCTTCATTACCAAGAATACCACTTGTTGGAAATTGTTTCAGGAACAATGTAAGGACTACTATTAATGTTTTAAATATCCTTCATTAAATATTACTTACCTAAAATTGGGCATAATCTTCCAAACAACATAAAACAAGGACTCTGGGCTAAATGCAGTCTGGCTACCTTGCCATAAAGCACAGAGTGTCTTTCTAAATTCTTCCACCAAAGACCTAGAAGAGAGGAAGGGATGATGAGACCCCACTGCATTCACAAGAGGCTAGTGTTTTACTACACAATGCCAAACTGTCTAAAATTCACAAATAAAATATAAAAACATAAAAAGTTTGGTCTCTTCTGAACTAAATCTGACAGTTAAGTAACAGCATCTCAAAAACCCATATAAAAAGCGGTAATTACTTGACAAAACTAGTTTTTCAATTGTATGGTGAACTCTTGAGTATGCCGAAGTACCATCATACTTGTATAATAAAGCAATGGATAAGTTACAAACCAAATTACTTACTGATGCATATTTTCAAGCATGTAAAACAAGTAACAGAATCCCTTGTCCACCTCCTGGCTCTTTCCTTCTTGCCCCTCACTAGGAGCACCTCTCCGACTTGTTCGGCGCTGTCTGCTCATCTCTGCTGCAGAGAGGTAATCTGACTGCAGAGCTTCAAAACTCACCTCTGCACTGCTACTGCTAAGTCACTTCAGTCGTGTCCGACTCTGTGCGACCCCATCCCTGGGATTCTCCAGGCAAGAACACTCAAATCCAAATCTGAAACCCACATTTTTCTCATGACTGCTTTTACTCAGGTGTCTCCAGGTCCCAGCAGGAACGTCCTCCTGGCGTCCTCTAGTCTCTTCCCATGCAGTGTGTCCTAAACCTGCTCCCTGCTCCTACGGTCGCCCGGTCTCCACTCACTCCCCCCACAGGAATACAGCTTCCACTTTTTTCTTGGCATATGAGTTCATGGAATAAAAAATTCTGAGTGTGTCCAACTTCTGACAAATCCCCTTAAAGAGAAAGAGTGGTCCTTCTTCACTCCTTCTTTCTTCCGGCTAGAATGAAGTTGAAACGGTGGCTCCCCAGCAGCACTGTGGACGGTGTAGATGAGAGCCACAGCCAGGGATGGTGGACAGAACGTCAGGTGAGCCCGGTGATTGTAAGAAAGCTAGATGGATTACCTCCAACTTTTACATAAGAAAAGAAACCAGGGATGCTTAAGTCACCATTAGTTTTGGTTTTCTATGCACAAAGGTAAACTCAAACACCTCCTCAACTGCAATGACTGTATGTGTCAATACAGCTACCATCCTCATAGACACCAGAGAGAATCTCACCACCTTCTTTCTCAACCCCTGTCATCCAACAGGCTCCTGAGATAGAAATTATGTTTTTTACTTCCTAGTACCTCAATCCTCATCCTGTGTTTGAGGAACTCCATCTTAAAGAGTCTTGTGAGAGTCAAAGCCTGCCCCCCACTATGGAAGCTGAAAACGCTAAATACTTGCTCCTCAGCCCTTGTCCCACTCCCTCCTTGCAGCCAGGATTCCGGTACATGGCCCTGGTATGCCTGTTTGAAGCAGGAATTAGAAACGAGGCTGTGACAGTGCCAAATCATTTCAGGTGGCAACGAGCATCTTCAGGAGTGCGGGGGGGAGATGGGAGGAGCAATAACAGCAGCTTCCCCCCAGGACCAACCCCAGCAGTGCTGGCAGTGGGAAAACTTAGGCAGGGCATGGACAGTGGTCCTAATAAGGACACCTTTATAGATGCCTGGACTCATTAACCTGATTTTCCACCCATCTGCTTATGCTAAGTTCACCAAAGACCTTCAATAAATTCCTTTTCTGCATAAGATAGCCAGAGGCAATTTTTGTAATTTGTAACTAAACCCTAAATCACACTAATGCATCAAGTACTACTAATTCTTCCCTTTTGTGCACATGTATTTTTTTCTCTTCGTTTCACTGCTATTCCCTCTAACCAATTACTATAATGTGTGAAGAAGCCTCCTTGAACACAGGCACGTTTTAGCTCATCCTGCACGCTGCTGCCAAAGCAGACTCTCACTACTCCACTCCTCATGATATCATGCCCTCCCTGCGCCAATGCCTGGCTTCACTGCATATTCCACACTGCACACTCTTCTAACACGGTCTATGCTATTCTCCCTCAGCCAGGCAGGAAGAACAGTGTCAGACTGTTAAGTATTGGATTATGTGTGGCTTTTCAGAATGTGTGGGGATGGGGTGTGTGAGAGCAGGGATGGGCAGACAGGGAAAACATTACATTGTCATAGCCTCATTTCAATAATGTTAAGATGCCTCTTACAACCATGATAAGATGACACAACTTCTGAACCCCAATAGAACATGGTTTGAATTTGAATACATATTGTTTTGGTTCTCAATAATCACTTGTCACTTCCTTCTCCCACATCAACTAATAATGACTGTACTGCCCCATAATGAATTTGATAACTGCAAATTAATTATTCAAGACAGGTTTACCTAACCCGATCACACAAGTTAATTCACAAAGACTAATGACATTCATGCTGCTCTATACCTAGAACTGTGCTTCATTCATAGACGTCAATTTTAGAATGCCCCAATCCATAGACTCCACAAGTAGAGTGCTGAATTTATCCTGCCTGCTAGGTAAATAGAGATAAAAGAATTCCGACAACTATTAAGACTGCCAGCTAAATACTGAAACACAACTGTTAAGAGTTTCTTTTTAAGTGCACGTGCCTATTTACTCACATAACACAATGGAAATCACCAGTAAGAGTCATTTGTTCTGTAGCTCAAAGCCAGAAAGGACATATTTTGAGACTCACACGTTGTTATCCCCCTGGCTCCTGGTGTGGTATGTTCGCCGTCCTGCTGTCTTCCCATTCCGTAATTCCACAGCAGGCAGCTCTTTGAAATAACAGCAAAACTGCTCAATGTTACTATTTTAAAAGGAAGGAAAGAAAATTATTTTTTAAATGTCCTAGGGCCTATAAAGAAAGTATTATGAGACCCACATATGGATTTTGAAAATGTGATCTGTCAGTTTCTCATTAAAGTGGTATTCAATGCAATCTCTTACATCATGTTTCTTCATTAAGATTCCTCTTTTGTTCCCAGAAAATAATACAAGTAGATGACTTTGCAGAAATAAAGAAAGACCTTAAAGCAAACTCTCTGTTCCCAAGATCCTCAATCCCCCTTCCCAATCAGAGATTGTCACCATTTCTTTCTTTTCAGGGTGTTTGTTTCCAGGTGTTCAATAATTTCCTCCAGCAGAAGTAAACTATGAGAGCAACCATATTGTTTGAATACACTATACAGAGTAACAAGGAGAATTCAGTAGCAACTAGAATTTCTTCTGCAAGCAAGAAAAGCTGAGAGCCAGCCCCTTTAAGGAGAGAGCACATGTAGCTTCTGGCCCTGGGAAAATAATTTATTCTGGTCTTTATGACACCACATTAGAATCTGAAAGTACTCAACTTTCTAAATAATCTCTTTTAGATAACTTAGGTCAGCCTTGTTGCCTGTTTTATTTTTCACTGCTCATCCTACACGTTGAGGATCCTGATCTAATGACCATACTTAAGACAAAACTAATGACTGAACTGAGCTCTCTGAACAAGGCTCTTTTCAGCCCAGGGGTCTGCGAACTATGGTCCACAGGGCAAATCTGGCCCTGGGCCAGTGAGCTTTTCCATTTTTAAAATGAGTTTTGTATTTTTAAAGAGTTGTTTAAAAGGGAGGGAAGTATTGAAGAGAGGAGGAAAATATGTGAGAGGGCCTGGATGTGGCATGCAAAGATTAAAAATATTTATTTAATCTGGCCTTTTTCAGAAGTTTGCTGGCCTGTGGTCAAGCCTATTTAAGAAGTGACAGGAACTAAATAATAACTGCTAACAGTTATTTACTGCCAGACACTGCTCTAAGCACTTCATGCAAATTATACACTATCTTCCCAGCTACTCCGTGAGGCAGACTATTATCCCCATTTCACTGATGAGAAAACTAAGGCGCAGGGAACTGAGGTAACTTGCCCCGAGTTACCAGGCTAGAGCCAGGGCCAGAGACAGAACCTGAACATGGACCCTTTGCTCTTAACCATTCCACCAGAAACTAACATTAGATAGCTGAGGTCTGACTGTAACATTACCTGAGCGACTGAAGGATGGCATTCATGAAACACGTATTCCCCAAATTCCGAAGGCCCGTGGCACAAATAGCAGTGGTGCTGCCCTGTAAAACGAGAGGCGGCCTCAGTAACGCCAAGAGAAGGCCAACTGCTTCAGACATTACAGGGCCAAGGACTGTATTTGAAACTCTAGCATCAAACCAGGTTGGAATCAATCCTTTTCAGTCCAATGAATATTTCAAATTCTCTTTCTACTCTCTGTATAAGTGTCTGGATATTTTTAGAAGGCTGTTTCTGATCCTAGGACAGTTCTAAATGGAAACTTAGCAGGAAATCAGCTTTAATAAGTACTATGGAGTACATGATGCAAAAACCAGGAAGGTCCTTAAAAGAAATAAGTTTAAGACGTCATGCCTTTACTATTGTTGCTATTTAGTCACTAAGTCGTGTCTGACTCTTTTGTGAACCCATGGACTGTAGCCCGTCAGGCTCCTCTATCCATGGGATTCTCCAGGCAAGAATATTGGAGTGGGTTGCCACTTCCTTCTTCAGGGAATGTTCCTGACCCAGGAATCAAACCCAAATCTCCTGTATTAGCAGGTGGATTCTTTACCACTGAGCCACCTGGGAAGCCCTAAAACCTTCATAAGACTACTAAAGCTACTACAAAGTGGAAAAAATATAACTAAGGAACAAAACTGACCATAACTTCAGACCCACAGAATTTGAAGTAGGGACCTTTAGCAGAAGGAAGCAAGGATCTCTGGGACCCTATGCAAAAGGGTAACAAGGTACACGAGGAGGCCTTAAGAACAAATGCTCACTAAGGTACTGGAGCATGGTAGTAATCCTGACGGAAGGCAGGCACTGACAGACTCGCCGGGGTATTTAGTCACATCAAGAGTCATTAGTACCAGGGGCAAACACTTTGTAAAATATTCCAAATACAAGACATACGTTTATAAAATTTCATAAAGGGGTAACATTAATGTTAAGAGTTGTAATCAGTGACTAGACCTCAACCAATCCTTGTATTTGAATAAATTTTAATTACTTACATTTACTTTTAGTAACTTGCTGTTCAGTGATGAGTTTTCCAAAAGTTTTCTTTTCCTATGCCTGTCAGCTGTGAAAGACGAGCTATTAAAACAACAAACAGACAGACAGTCAAAAAGACATGCCTACATACACACCACCCAGCAGGACAGAGAGCAAAGGTGGCCGTGCTAAGCTTCGAGGGTACAGCCCTGGCTGACTTGAGAAGCCAGGCCCAGGAGGGACCCAGGAGGCCGCTGTGGCCTACCGGTCCTTCAAGTACCGAGGAGTTCCACTTCCCCTGGAAATCCCCACTGCTCCTCCAGCAGGGTGGGACTAGAATCTGCCACCTCCGGGCACTTCCCAGAGAAGCTGGCCAGGTAGATGTGGTCTCTGAGACGGTCCGTCTCCTCCCCAACTCTGTCTACCGATGGTGAATCTCCAAACGAGAGAATACACAAACCACATAAAAAAGGGAAACCCTGGTCTGATATGGTTATTCTGACATTTAACATCAACTCTCAAATACTCTATTTCTTTCTTAATTTTGGTAAAGGTATCCTCTTTTGTTTGTATGTTGTAACAGATGATCACATAGTCTGAGTCTGTGGAATGAAAATACATCAGAGGCACACAGGCATACACCAACTCCTTTGATTCAGCTATGTTACGAAGCATGTTGTAAAACACAAATTCTGAATTAAAATTATGTAAATTTTTCACAATGAAAGACAGATCTTGTTTGAAATTTATCAGAAAGTAATTCCTATCTTCAAAGGGTCACTTTAAAATGATGTATCAGGGAACTAATCCAAAGGAAGTAAAAGCTACTATTATTAAACAACACAGACTTTTAAGTCTACCAACCCTTTTCCATCTTCCAAAATTATCAGGCTAATCCAAAGAAAATATATAATTATTTTTCTTTCCAGAATTTCCACATGAACTGCCTTGAGAGCAGTAGATCTAGTGACAGTCAGCTGCTTCAAATCTAAAAATATTCTTAGGAAAAATGTCTTCAGAACTGTATGTGCCTCTGATGACAAGGTAAGAAGTGATCAACCCCATATGTAGTATGAAAGAGAAAGTGCCTTGAAAGTGAAAGTAGCTCAGTCATGTCAGACTCTTTGCGACCCCATGGACTATACAGTCTGTGGAATTCTACAGGCCAGAATACTGGAGTGGGTAGCCTTTCCTTTCTCCAGGGGATCTTCCCAACCCAGAGATCACACCCAGGTCTCCCGTGTTGCAGGCGGATTCTTCACCAGCTGAGCCACAAGGGAAGCCCACATATAGTATAATGTCAAGTTATTCCTTCACAGATTCTGCGAGGAAAGAAGCTGAGTCACAAGCACAGTGACAATGCCTAATAGCTAACTTTTATTCAACCTATACAAATAAAGCCTTTAGCTGTCTAAAATACGGTATTAAATTTTACCATTGGTGATTCTCAAAATGGCAGAACCCTTTAGATCCATGCTATTTAACAAGGTTCAGTTCAGTTCAGTCGCTCAGTCGTGTCCGACTCTTTGCGACCCCATGAATCGCAGCTCGCCAGGCCTCCCTGTCCATCACCAACTCCTGTAGCCGCTCACTACATGTAGCTAGTAAATTTAAATTAATTCAACTTAAATAGAACATAGAATCCAGTTCCTCGTCATGCTGGCTCATTGTCAAGTGCCCCACAGGCACACATGGCCAGTGGCTACACAGTGTGATTATACAAGGTTCGTGGTGCACAGTGCTGCTCCAGAGATAGGCTGGACGGTTGGCAGTAAAAGTCAAATGCAGTCACGGATCTTCCACTGTAGCTTCCAGCACAGATTAAAGGCTGTGTTTGAGAACATCAAAATAAACTTAGATAATGTTTCTCAACACAGAAGGATTGCAAGGTACGTTTTTCAGTGGCGACAAGGTAGTCTGTGACACCTTTTACCTAATGAAGTGGTCATTGGAAAGAAAATATTTGAAAGCTGCTTATATAAAAGCATGCAGGTTCTTGAAAGTCCTGTTCTCCCTCTGACTTAGTTCTGATGAATTTGTCATTAAGATGATAGTCTTTTCTTAAGAGAAAACTCTAGGTGACAGGGAGAAATAATTTGGTAGCTACCTCCTTCTATAACAAAGAATCAGGTTACTAAGATCTTTACAATGATGTCATCACACCAGAGAGTGATGTTACAAAAACTACTGCAAGAATCTCCTACGTCACAGTTAATTGTGGCAATTTCAGACCAAACTCAATAGTCTAGATCTGTGTGTCTACAGCTGTGTCTCTAATCCTAGACAGGGCTCCTGCTGCTCTGTTCAAATTAAGAGAAGGGGGGAAGCACTTTGAAAAAGTGAGGTGCCCCAACAGGACAAGCCAAAACGTACTTAAATCCAAAGTGTTCTAATTAGTTTAGATTTTAAGGAAATCATTTCCTCCCTTTTCAGCTTACAATCTATATTTAGTCAGAAACATGCAGAGAGACTTTGGTTAACCAAAGCTAGACAGTGTTTAACTTAGAGAACTCAGGTCATTCTCTATCACCACACAATTTAAAAATACCCTGCTGGCTTTATGTGTAAGTTTGCTAAAGGACTCCCACTTCTGGCATGTTTTCACAATGCCATTTATACATCAACTGTCAAAATGAATTAGATGGCACCTGATGATCGGGAGATTTACACGGATTGCACCTGAGTCAGCAATCATTCCAGGACCATGCTTCCATCCACTGCAGCACCAGACACTGCCACTGGGGCTTCTGTTTACTGCTTGAATTTTGGGTCCAGTGAATTGTATCTGACTAACCTATTTGGCTTCAGCAAAAAAAAAAAAAAAAAACTATTCACAGTAGTTTAATTTCTTTCTGATGACAAAGCATTTCACAGCTTCCTATACTTTCAAGTGATAAATACTAGACCTCACAAAAAAGAAAAAGAAGAAACTAGGATCTTCTGCTATCATATAGATGCAAAGTAAACAATAATATAGTTAAACCTATTTTCCCTTAAAATTTATACATAAATTTCAGAGCTTCTAAGAAGACCTCATTAATACATTTGATAAGGGTTTTCTAATATTTCAGATAACCCTATAATGATTTTGGATCATTTTCTGCCCTTCCCTTGCACTAGCAAAACTCCCCTTGCATATAAACTGAGGAACTTACAGGATGGTGGGTAGTAACTAAAAAACAGGCTCTGGAGCCCTTGGATACAGTTATGACAGATACTAAATGAAATAAATGCTGAGTTATGATCACTGACAATTTTCATATACCAAACTCCAAAGTTTATTTTGCTCACATTTCAATCACACTAAAAACATTGAATGTGATGAGGTTATGGAACTCATCAACAAAAATCCCACTCAGAAATTCTGAAAGACCCCTCAACCCCATTCCATCCCTTCTTTCCCAAGGTCTATTACTTACTTTTCCAAGTTCTGTAAGTGTTCTCTGACTTTCTGTACCAGTCCCAGCTTGGTGTCATTAACCACAAAATCATCACAGCGATAACTGCAAGGAAAATATTAATCAGTGTGTGTAAAGAGCTTGAGGAAACCACAGTAATGAAATCACTAAAACCATGCTGCCAAGATGGTCACGTGGCTCGGCAAGCAGTTACAGTCAGCGGTGAGTTCAAAGAGGACTTAGAATCCACACTGGAATGTTTTTAAAGAGCCTTTTTAAAAAGCCACGTAGGCAATGAACACTAGTTTCTTTTCACATTTTTATTCAAAAGCTCTTCAATTCCTCTTCGAAAATGAAATAGGCTGCGACATGTGTTATATTCCTTTTAGTGGTGCATAATACATGGAAAACGAAATACAAAGCACCAATTCTATTCATGTAGCATGAAGCCTAAAGCTTTAATGTGATCCCTCCCAACTCAAATTAATGGGAAGAAGAGATGTAAGAAAAAAGCAGGAAAAAGATAATTAACATGTAGGGATATTTGAATAAAAAACTAAAAGCTATACATTTTACACACCAGCCAAGCTCCTCTGTCCATGAAATTTTTCAACCAAGAATACTGGAGTGTGTTGCCATTCCCTTCTCCAGGAGATCTTCCTGACCCAGAGATAGGACCTGGGTCTCCTACCCAGGCAATCTGCCTAAAGAACTGCAGGCAGATTCTTTACCGTTTGAGCCACCAGGAAAGCTCCTTTTACACATAATTTAATTTAAATAAACTAAACTGAGAAGAATACATCTTTTCATTCTGCAATGTTAGAAAACAAAAGTATAGAACAGTGACTACATCTTGCAGGAAACAAACGCTTTGAGGAAAGATGTTTAAGGTATTCTTTAGAACTGATATTGTGTGTGTGTGTGTTAGCAAGTCAATAAGCAAATAATATAAGGAATCAGACATAATAAACTCTAACTTGTACATCAGCATTCAATTTTTTTCCCTGGAATATGGCCAATTTTAACTGAAACAACTTACAAGCTAGTACCAAAATATTCTTTTGAACTGCAGCTTTGTACAAAACCACTTATTAAAACTACCAAAGAATAATGACAATAACAATGCCACTCTTCTGAGCAAAATTCTGAATGCCTAGCAATTAGTATGGAGAAGGCAATGGCGACCCACTCCAGGACTCTTGCCTAGAGAATCCCATGGATGGAGAAGCCTGGTGGGCTGCAGTCCATGGGGTCGCTAGGAGTCCGACACGACTGAGCGACTTCACTTTCCCTTTTCACTTTCATGCATTGGAGAAGGAAATGGCAGCCCACTCCAGTGTTGTTGCCTGGAGAATCCCAGGGACAGCAAAGCATGGTGGGCTGCCGTCTGTGGGGTCACACAGAGTAGGACGCGACTGAAGCAACTTGGCAGCAATTAGTAAAAATTAGGTCAAATCTAACACAATCCAAAAACTATTTCTTACATACCTGAAACCAGGCTATTCAAAAATTGTAAAGAGGATGGGAGAAAGTAATTTGTTTAAAAAAAGATCACACACAAAAACATGGCTTGTGTCTCTTAGCCACAATTTACACATGTAATTATTTAACAAGTCCCTCCCCCAAAATCTGACTATCTAATGCTGTCAACCAAGAGTCTCTAATATTCTCCAAGCTCCCATGGTTAATCCTTAACATTTCTACTAACAGCAAAAGCTACCATTCACATCCCAGACTGTTTCTCTATGATCAAAGCCATCAGCAATGGGAGGAAAATAATTCTTTATTGGTTTTATAACAAATACATAAAGCAATTAAATTTGTGGAAAGTTTCAGTTCCTTGCTTCTTCTCAGCATAAATGTTAAGAGGGTAAGGTCTACTCTAAAAATCTGGGATTAGGGCACTTGGTTCCTCTGTGAATCCCAGGCATGCACTAGAGCATGAAATTGTATTGTTACCCTAATTCCTGCTTATATTTTCATTTTAGATTGGCATAAACATATACATGCACTTTGACTAAAAGAATTATCCAGTGTTCGAAACAAAAACAACTCCAAACGCTACTGTTCATCTGGGGAATGAAGTCTAAGAGCAAATTTAGATGGCCTTTCACATATTTCCATGCTGCTAGTCTACCTAATTGAAAAGTGAACCTCTTAACTTTCACACACACAGAAAAAAAATGTTGCTTTGTTTAAAGAAACAAATGGCTTTACATTATATGAAATAACTGGTTTTTTTCACATTAAAGTAATTCTTTTTGGTGTGACATGAAATCAGCCTTTAGCATTTGTTAAAGGAACATTTTCATACATCGAAATACAGTTTATTTATGACCTTGCTCCATTCTGAACTAATCTGCCTTAACTGGGTCTATTTACTTCATCTCTTTGAGTGTTCATCATTAAAGTGAGTAAGTTGCTCTAGGCTCCAGAGCTGTTCTAATGTGGCATAGCTATTTTTCTGTTACTTTTCTATGCATTAATGAAGCACTGTAAAGTACTTATTTCAATATTTTATGCAGAAAGCAGCAGTTACAGTGATACCTACATAAATAAATACCTACATACATAATTGGTAGTTAAATTGAAATATTTATTTTAATTATAATACAATCAAATTATTTTTCTGGCTCAAAAACTAAGAATGAAAAAAAAATTTTAACTTCCAAATTAAGGCGCGCTAATGAGGTAGAATCGAGTGTAATTTTACTAAGAATGGCAATTATGATTTAACACAGCAGAGCCAAATTAATAAGCTGCATATAAAAAAGTTTTAAGATAATAGACAATGTTGAGTCATTTTCAGCAAATGCATAGTGATTTAACAAGAAGCTGCCTCTCTACAGTCAAAATATAATCAATGAACTCTGTCATAATGAAATCAGAAAGAAATGTGTAACAAAATGATTTCTCACTGACTTTGGGATTTGAGCTTATAATTCTGGCAAGCTACAAAACAGCCTGAATTCTTGCTCAAGAAAGAAAACCATTTTTAGATGGAGAGATGAAACATTAATTTATTATTTCAGTTAAGGGAATCATGTTTTAAAATTTGAGAGAAAGATCACAAAAGATATTTTACAAAAAGTGAAAGATCTTCAGTTGATTCACCAAGAACTGATTCAACATTTGAAAACTATAAATACTTTTATTTTTAGCTTTAGATAAGCTTTACAAGAGACAGTGGCCAATGAATACTTAGGGTATGTTTTGTCTCAAATGACTTCCAAATTGAAATGTCCTTGTCTACTTGCAACCTTAAAAGCAATCAAACTCATGCTGCAAGTATTTTTTAATCTTTTACATTTGTCACTTTCAGCTAGATAGGAAAAAGCTACTTTCTATCAACACAAACAAGAACCAGTTATGTGGGATCAAAACCCCAGATTTACTGGAATTAATTCCCTTATTTGATCCACTTCACATTAACATACTGAAAATATTTGTGCTCTGAAGTGGACTGAATTATGGGTGCAGTTATTAAAATGATGCAGTTACTAAAATTGTTCAGTATACATGTATAAATGCTCTGACTCATCACCAGTGGAACTGTTATAAGAGACAGAAGATAATTTAATGACTACATGCTCTTTGCCAACTTTCACTGCTTGAGTCATGGCAGATTTTACAAAGGTTTACTGTTCTGTTAACTCTAATTCAAGATTTTCTTGAATCAAAAGGACACCTGCCAATATTCAACATAACAGAAAACATCACCCCACGACTTACATTTTACCTACAGCACAGTGCACATGAAGGAGCTAAATGTAAAGATCCAAGGAGAGAGAAAGCTTGTTTGTGACACAGCTGGACAGGTATGAGAATTTATGTTAAAATTTAAACTATTCATACCATAAATTAATAATGGTTTTACATGTTTCAACATGAACAAATATGCAAGAGATTTTAAATGCAATAGCATTATGTAAGTTGGCTCTAATAGCTATAAGAAAAATTGAAGAATGCTTTGTTGACATGAATAAATTTAGAGCTGATTTTCAGTCTATATAATGGCCCTTTGAATTTGATATTGATAATACTGAGTTGTTAACAAAAGTGAGTGGATTTACCTAACTTACATACAGTTTTTAAACTGATAGGCTTTTGCGTCAGAGTCAATTATTCTAAAAAAAAGATGTCAGTCCTGTCAATACAGATGTCAAGTATTAAAGAAAATGGGGGGGTTTGAGGGTACTTTATTGGAAAAAATTTTAATAGTGTTTGGAATCTACATTTTCAATGGCAACTCTTATGACTAAATACAGATCAAGCATTTCTGATGAAAAGTTAGCATCTGAATGGAAATGCGCTATATGTGTAAAATATCACACTGGATTCTGAAGGTTTCATATTTCAAAAAAAGACACAAACTATCTCTAATAATTCTACATGGATTACCATGTTGACATGGTAATACTGGTTTGGCCAAAAATTTCATTTCAGGTTTTTCTGTAAGATCTTAGAGGGTCAATATATGCAAGGCCTTATGACAAAACCTGGACAAACTTTCTGGCCACCCAATATTTTGGATAACCAGGTTAAATAAAATATACAATTTAAATGAATTAACCTGTTTGTCTTTCCTTTTTTATTGTGGCTACTAAAAAATTTTGTATTACATACATGATGAATTATTTCTCTTGGACAGGACTGCTGGCCTAGAAAAATATCTAAGATACTGGCTGCTCTACTATTCTATGATACTACCATTGTCATAAAGAGGTAAGAAGTATAACTTCAATGGACTAGAAGAAATCGATCTGATTTTGGCTGAATTTGGTCTCATTGTCTTAAAAAATTTTAGGTTTTCACAATTGTCCTTATTTTCAAGAGTAGATTTTAGAAATTCTTACAGTCACTAAGAAGGACATTTATTTCTAGGCTTCTAACTTGCATCCTGTCTGAATTCATCACACTATACAAGCATTATCTGATGATGATCATGAAAGGAAAGCACCTGCTTCCACAGGTCGAAACTTCCAGGGGCGCCTGGCATGTGGTACAGGGTCAATAAATGTCGGCTTCCTTCCATTGTGTAACCAGGACTGCCTTGTAACACACCCTTCTCTAGCTGCCCCCATCCCCTCTGTTTTGATTTCTTC